TTTTCTGCCTACACAAAATCGGCTTGGTGGTAAAAATGTAGATAGACTCCAATACACGCAAATACCTTTGACTACGTGAACGAGACCGAGCAGAAAAGCAATCATCAGCATAACTAGAACGACAATCGCTATTCTGAACAAGATGGTTGGCAACAGCAGATTCATACACCCTAACAACGCTACTAGAACCAGTACATACTTTGGAATTACGTGACAATGAAACCGACCTGACATTCCTCGCCGCTACTGCCAATCCAGACGAGGCCGATGTAGATGTCAGTACCAAAGGCACGTCCGTTACTGGCACTGCCTGCTGCGATTATGCTCCCTTTGACGTTCCAATGGCTGTTGATGTTGATGAAGAGGAGGGGGGAGATGAGGAAGACGCTGACGACGACGATGACGACAACCACGGAGACGATAAAGACTCTGCTAACCTCACCCTAGAGCGAGTCACTGGTCCCGCAGACACACCATCCGGTGGTTTCTTCGGTGGCCGGCCACGCTTTTTGCCACCGGAGGTGGACACACCGGATGACGGTACCAAGGAAGTCAAAGAAGACGAAACCGCAGATGCCAACGATGATGACGGGATAGGAGGAAGAGACGGTAAAGACGAAGGCAATGACGAACAAGCCGATGCTGACGAAGAAGACAACGACACCCCAGTGTGTTCCGTCCCCAGCGAGGGTGCACCTCCAGTCGCAGTACCAATCTTTGGGGGACGACCTCGTCTAGGCCTTGACGACCGTGCCACAACAGGCATAACGTGAAGAGGCACATGCTGGTGGATCCGTGCATCCAGGTGCTGAAGGGTCCTACCCACATACCGGCTCTCACATTGCCGGCACTCGAAGTTGTAAATAAGATGTGATAATTCATTATCAATTTGTCTGACTATACACTTTCGTCTGGTGAGAAAGAGCTGCTAGGCCGAGGTATGAGTTTCGGTTTGCCGCCTAAAACTAACCGAGAAGAGGTTATGGCTGATTTTGAGGTATTTTATGATCGCCTGTCCTCATCACTACCGAAGACAAACAGATCAGCGTCGGTGTGCGCAACCTCTCTGGCTAACATTGCGAACCAATACATCCAATCTAGCAATGACACGACATGTTTTACACTAACCCGTGAACATTTTAGTGTACGGAAAGAATTGCGGAGTAACAACAACATGAGTTAGTATTGCTGAAGCAGATCACGCAGACTGAGTCGGATTCATTTAGTCCAATTGGTTCTGCGCGACCGCGCATGTATGGCTTACCCAAAATTCACAAGGCTGGTTGTCCAGTTCGTCCGATTTTGTCCATGCGTGGTTCACCGCAGTACAAAGTGTCGAGGTGGATTTGTCGTTTGTTACAGCCTGTTCTCGACATGTACAGTATATATGTAGTCAAGGATAGTTTTGAGTTTGCCGACTTTTTGCATGATCACGAATTCCCGGAGACATTCTATATGTGCTCGTTTGATGTTGTGAGTCTTTTCACGAACGTACCTTTGGATTTTACGATTGATATTTGCTGTGATGCTATGTACCGTGGTAATGTAGGTTCTCCTGTTACTATCGAAGAGACGTACTTTCGCCGTCTTATGAATATGGTTACGTGTGGCGTTGAATTTTCGTTTGAGAATGTTATGTATCGTCAGATAGATGGTGTCGCGATGGGTTCACCGTTGGGTCCAGTTCTTGCAAATATATTTGTGGGTTACTGCGAATCATTGGTCCCCAAATGTAAATGGCCTGCGGTGTATTGTCGTTTTGTTGACGATAGTTGGTCCTACTTTCAGTCTCGGAACGACGCGCAGGAGTTTCTTGAATTATTGAATAAGCTGCACCCGTCACTGAAGTTTACTTGTGAGTTTGAATCGGCTGGTAAATTGTCCTTCTTGGACGTTCTTGTAGATACGTCTGGTAAGGGTGGTGTAATGACATCAGTGTACCGGAAACCAACGTTCACCGGCTTGTACATTGTTTGGGACTCGTTTACTGCGAGGTCGTACAAAATTAATCTCGTTCGTTATCTAGTAGATCGTGCTCGTCGATTATGTTCGCCTTCAAAGTTGGATGAGGAGCTGGAGCGGCTACGCACTTTGTTTCGTTTAAATGGGTACCCGGAATATGTGATATCAAAATATGTCATAGTTAGTACACTGGTTGGAGCGAAGGAAGTGTCCTCCGAGGCCACTCCGGTGTATCTTCGTTTGCCTTGGAAGGGTGAAGCTGTTTGCCGTACCATGCAACGTCGAGTTAAGTCAGCTGTAGAATCGGATTTTCTTAATGTTAGTGTCCGGTTCGTTTACACAACAGCTCGTGCCTTCATGGTGAAGAAGGATGTCCTACCCACTCTTAAATTATGATTGATAATTTCGCGGTTCGGAGACCACGGAGGTCGACTGCAAATTATTCAACCGTAGTATATGCTAGAAATGGCCAAGGCCCACGTGGAGCATCGAAGGAGAACTGAAGCTAGAAGCTAAACGGAACACAATCTCGAGACAGGGATGAACTAAGGACAGTGGGACGGGACAGACGTAGGAAGGAGAACACGGATGGTACCAGACGACTGACTGGTGGTGAATATGAGTTGGGTGATGATGCGGCGGATGACGAAGATACAGATGATGACGAGGCGGGTGATGACGAGTCGGCGGATGACGACGAGGCGGATGACGATGAGACGGCTGGTGGTGATGGTGATAAAACGGACGAGGAGGAGTCAGGTGGCAGCGAAGGTGCTGGAGCTGATGAGGATGAGATTCGTAAGAAGTCAGCTGTCGACTTACATTAATTTTGTTATCTCGTCCCGATTGTTTGAGTGTGTATGATGATTCCTACTTCCCTGTACTGTGTCGTGTCGGTTACCGTGTTATAAACACGGGACTTTTATTTTTTCAACCCACTTCGCACCCGTGCTTATAGAGGAGACTGTGATATTAGAGAGGTTCCGCACTACGTATAGTTGAGCAACTTTACGTTAGTGGGCGGGAAAAACCCGTGAATTCGTGAGTTTGCACTCCACTCACGGAAAGTTGTCTACAGAGAGTACGTAGATAGGGCTCTGATAACGTAGCTGGTCCGTTAATGGATTGGGTACAAATTTATGACTCTCTCCCCAGGTCGATCTGGTCCTACACTGCCGCGTTCGGAGTTGCCAAGGGCAGCTACGTGATTTGAAAACTCCGTATGGCGAAACCCAGATCCGCATGCAGTTTACCTAAGACTTTCCGTAGATCGACAACGTTTTTTACTAACGTAATTACGTTATGTGGAACCTCTCTAATACTGGAGACTGTGTTTATATTTTTTCAACCTTAAAAAAATAAAGAAAGTTGCATACCGGTAAACACTCAAATTGGAATTTAACTCAGATTTCATGATTAGAGAACCGAGAGAAGAAAAAAGAATGATGCGGAAGTGGAAGTCACGCACGTAGAGCACTATTATGTGCGCACAGCTGCATTCCAGTATTATCACTGTGACTATGTTGGAGACTGTGCGTTTTTATCTCAACAGCCCTCTGACCTGTGCTTATAATGGAGACTGTGCATATAATGGAGACCTGTGTTTATAAGAGAGATAATACGGTATGTCCAGCAGTTGAAGGTCCTTCAAGCTGTTCGTATTCGTACGCATAAGTACAATTTGTGTAAGCAAAAAGAACATGTTGTAGCACTTAGGTTATTTTCGTGAGTTTGCACCCCTTGTTCATGAGTTGTTTCTGCACTGTTCATGCCCATTTGTCACACTTACTTTTATCTTAGCCCTCACTTTTGTAATACTTACGCGTCATGTGTCACACTTCTTTGGATTTTTAACCTTTGTGTTTTCCTTGATCACTTTAGTTCCGTATTTCCACTGATGACCGGAGCTTGAAAATCGATTCAGGAAACTCAATCTCAAACCTTAAAGAAATTGTCATGTTGCGTGGTGATGTCTGCGGCATTCATACTTTTCATAGCTATTATTTGGATGTTGGATGGTATTACATTTCCAGTCGATATTGAGAGGGCCAACTGATCACTGAGTGTCAACCCTAGTAAAATGGAACGTGCTCAGGTGCTCAGAAGCAACGAAAGGATTGGTGAGAAGTGGACAATGGTCCGAAACTAGGATCTCTTCTTGGCAACGAGGCTGACGTAGCACGGAGGAAGCAGCTTGCTTCAGCAGCCTTCACTTCAATGTGTAACCTCTGGAAACGGAGATCTGCTGTGAGTGAGCGTCTGTGCCTGCGACTGTACTCGGCATTTGTCCTACCCGTCCTCACGTACAACTGTGGCACTTGGGGCCTCACGCAATCTGCTCTCCAGAAGTTGGATGCCTTTCACCGACGTCAGTTGCGGTCTCTCCTTGGCATCAAATGGCCACAGCGCATCTCCAATGAAGCACTGTACCAGAGGTGCCAAATAGAGGGAATCAGCATCTTCGTACGCCTTGCCCGGTGGCGTCTATTTGGTGACATTTTGCGGCTGCCGCCCTCAACCCCCGCAGTATCGGCAATGGAAATCTGTTTCGCAAACAACACCACCAGATGGCTTGGCCGGCCACACGTCACTCTTCCCAGCGTGCTGCATCAAGATCTGCAGAAAGCCGGGCAGGGTAGACTCCTGACTCTGGGATATCTCCATTCGCTCCGGGCAACAGTTGCTTGTCGTAAGAGCTGGAAGGCTCTGCGTGAGGCAATGTGTTCATCCAACTAGTTACAAACCAATGTACTTGTAATCCCATATTAGCCGGATAGTGCAACCTCAAGTCAACCGGATATATCTCCTTAATTTGCTCATCTCCCTATGTTTCTCTCTCTCTCTCTCTCTCTCTCTCTCTCTCTCTCTCTGCCTCTCATTCTCTCTCTCTCTCTCTCTCTCTCAATCTCTCTCTCTATCATTCTCTCTCTCTCTCTCTGTCTCTCATCTACACCGGTGGGTGAGACTCAGATCTCATTGTAACCCACACACTTGACGTACAATGTACATCTTATCCAAATTCTACTTTGTTCTCCCAGACATTTCAATTATAATCAACTTGTTGACCTACCTGACGGGCTGTTTAAAGCCACAACCGAATTACAAACCCTGTAAGTCATGGTGGGCATGTATCGGAAAAGAGTTTTTTTGCGTAGTTCTGCCCAGCTGCCTTTGAGGCATCAAGACGAGGTAGAAGCGGGTGGTCTGCATTGGGACGAAAGTGAACTGTCATCAGTGCAGGTGTGCAAGTGAACGCTATGTCCAGTAGGTCCATCCTACACTGCATTTCTTGGAAGAGAGACATGCTCTCTTATTGATTATGAACATGGTAGTGGAAGAGTGGGGAAGAAGTGAAAATCAAACATTTATTTTATTTTATTGAAAAACCACAAACTTTCAGACATGTGAATGTGCACATGATATACAGTGTACATACGTATGTATCGAGAAGGCAGCACGGAAACGGCAGTGGTGGTGAGGCCTTGGCAGCTCGTCCGACCGTGGGTCTCGGAGTCAACACTGGGCAGACGCACCGGGGGGGGGGGGGGGGGGGGGGGGGGGCGGGGGTGGTAGCTTAGGAGATAAGGGATGGAGCCAGCATGATCATAGTATGTAATGCATATGCAGAAGTAATAATTATGTGAATCTTAAAAACAATAGTGCGGTCGACCTGCGCAGAGGAAAGGCATCATGGACATGATCTACGTGTATAACATAATAATAATAATAATAATATTATAAGTGAGCTAGGGCACATCATACACACACATATGCGCATGTTCAAATAGGAGATCAACCTGATAGGCGTTCGCCGGCGCTGGGTAATCTTGAAATAAAGATATTAATATTATTGAAGAGATTATTATCATACGCTCACATAAACACCACATACCAACCATGTGCACCCAACCACCCCCCCCCCCCCTCCACACACACATGCACGCGCGCACCCACACACACACACACACACACACACACACACACACACACACACACACACACACACACACACACACACATCCTCGAATGCACACACACATGCGCCCCCCCCCCCCCCACACACACACCACACACCACACACACACACCACACACCACACACCACACACCACACACACACACACACACACACACACACACACACACACACACACACACACACACACACACACACAAACTTAGGTCGTAGATACAGTATGACAGAGAGAACAAAAGAGGAAAGGGAGAAAACGAGAGAGTGAGAGAGAGAGAGAGAGAGTGAGAGAGAGAGAGAGAGACATAATGAAAGAGAGAGAATGAGAGAGAGATATAGAGAGAATGAGAGATAGATAGATAGATAGATAGAGAGAGAGAAAGAGAGAGAGAGGGGGGTGATAGAGAGAGAGAGGGGGGAGAGCGGGGGAAACAGTGAGTGAGAGAGAGAGAGAGAGAGAGAGAGAGAGAGGGGGAGATAGATAGAGAGAGAGAGAGAGAGAGAGAGAGAGAGAGAGAGAGAGAGAGAGGGGGGGGGGGGAGTGAGAGAGAGAGAGAGGGGAGAAAGTGAGTGAGAGGGATAGAGAGAGAGAGAGGGGGGGGGGGAGAGGAGGGAGAGTGAAAGAGGGGGGGGGGGAGGGGAGGGAGAATAAGAGAGAAAGAGAGACAGAGATCGATCAGTCTGTGAGAGTAGCTGACCGAGTTACTGCTCCTCTGCAATCGCCTCTAGATCTAGTGCGCATGTGAGAGCCTGGAAGGTCCGCTTTCCACCCTCAGTTCTGACGCTTTCGGGAAGAGCATTCCACTGGACAATTGCCACAAACCAGATGGAACGTCGCCCGAAGGGACTTCAGAGAAAATGCACACATAGCAGATTGGACTGCTGCCCTCAAGTTGCCCGGATGTTGCTGGGGCGCCAACTGGAGCTGTGCCTGTGAACATCTCCTAAAGCAGGGGGCTAGCTTTGTGGTGGAGGCACCGATGAACTAGGACCAGAAACGTTTGATTTAGCAGGTGCAGTAGGTTGGGGACATCGGCAGGGATAGAAGAGGGGCTGTGGGCACGAAATTACGCTGTTGGAGGGTTGACCGTAGACCTCTGTTGGAGGGTTTGGAGAATTGATCAAGAAGGGTTGGACTCCACAAGAGCCTCTGTCGCAAGGTGGCACAGATGCCAGCCTTGAACATGTTTTCAAACGGACCAAGCAGGTGTGTGCTAAGTCCTTGAAAGAAACTGTTTGAACCATAACAAAGCTGGGAAAGGATCATGCTCAGGAACCATGTTCTCCGGGCAAGCAAACTCAGTCCTCGTCCATGCCTCCAGAGCTGACCAATTGTTCGCGCTGTCTTGCGACCAATATACTCCACATGTGGAGCCCAGGATAAATCATTATCCAGGACTAAATCAAGGTACTGGGCTGTAGGGGTCACACCGAATTTCTCCCCATTGCGGCAGACTTCCGGTTGTATTGCAGCCGTGCCCCGTGGCCGGATGGGAGCAGTCGATGACAATGTCATCTGCAAATTCTTGGTGCTGTACAGACGGTGGCAGTATGGTGTGGAGTTTACTAGTGTAGAGCACAAAAAGCAGTGGCCCAAGGGCGCTACCTTGGGGAACACCACGGGAGCAACTGACGGCTTCACTACCGGAGTCCAGAACTTTGACACTCTGGAAACGCCCTGAGACGTAGTCAGCGAACCAATCCAGCTATACAAAGGGAAAACAAAACTGTAACTAGACGTCCATGCTTAACACGGTCGAAGGCTTTCGACATATCAACAAGCACTGTCAAAGTGAACTCTCGTTTGCGGCTTGCAGTGGACCATATATTAACAGCTATCAAAAGTGCATCCTCAGTCGAATGTGCCTCCAGATAGGCAGTAAGCTGTCTCTTAACCATTGTCTCCAGAATACGGGAGATAATGGGGTGGAGAGATACTGGACGATAGTTCTGGGGCAGGGTTCGGTTGCCACACAATGGACTGAAATGTCACACTTTGAAGGTTGGTGGAACCTGTCAAGTTATAAGAGACAAATTGATAATGCTGGTGAGATTCGATGCAAGAACAGAGCCATCTTCATGTGAAACTGGCTGGAAATTGGATAGGGATGTCTCCAATGCTGGCCCTGCGGGTGGCTGAAGGTTCAATGTCCGAGCTGGGTCATGGACAATACAACCAAAGAGTGAAGTTAGTTCTGTGATGGATGCCTGTGGCTCAGACATCTCTTTCTTCCAACCAGCAACTGCATTCATGATTGACCAAAGTCTTCGCTGGTCACTGGTGTTGCACTGTGCAGTGAAGAACTCGTTTCTGAGCTTATGATCTAGCTTCCCTGCTGCAACCCTTGCAGATCTATGTGGGTTGTGTAGCTCCTTATTTTGTCTGTCCCGCATCAACAAGCGGTTAAGCCAGTTCCGTTCCCTCAAACAGGCCACTGGTGCTGCATTTAGCCATGGACAAGGACGGGTGTCCTTTCGGTGTACTACTGGTGCATGGTCATTCAGAGTAGAGAGGAGAGCGGAGGTTAGGCAATTTGCAAATGTGTCCACATCTGCTTGAGCCTGCAGAGTGCTCAGCTTGTTGCTAAGGTCTACATTAAACTGTTCGCAGTTTATCTTATGTAGTCGGCGACTAGGATTCGGGCGGTCGGTCTTGTGATGTCCAGAATGCCCACAAGAAATAAAATATATAAAAAATTAAATTTCACGGTTCGCTTGAGACTCGGCTGGAAGCCCAGTTTTCCGCATCCGTCATGGAAACGCTACCACCCTCTAGGATCAAAGGCGCAAGCAATACGAGCTATTACTATTATTATTATTATGGAGTTGGCTTTATTTCACTCACGTTGTCATGACATGAGGTAAGAACCCCATCACCGGGCCAAAAGAGACCAAGGGTAATGAGAGAAAAAAAATAGATAAATGGCCAACGCAATGGAGACCGAAGCAAAAAGGATTGTAAAAACCAAAGCAAAAAATATTGAAAGCCGACGCAGAAACTGAAAGACGGACAGAAATAAGCAGAACGATGGAGGAGGCCAGGACATATTCGAATACAAAAAGATGGAGGAGGACAGGATATATTCGAATTCAAAAAGAGTAATCACAAAAATGGACTACCAGTACAGGAATAGACCTGTAGAAATAGAGGAAGAGATGAATGCCGGACATACTCAACTGGCAAGAGAAAAATCAGGCTGTGATGACCGTCATACTGCACATTCATGGATGTCAAAGCAAGTGCAGTATTGGAGGTTTATACGGACTAGCTCTACCCGTAACATGAGGAGCCTAATGCCGAATGCCAAGAACCGACTTGACGATGTTCAGCGTGCCCAGGATAGCACATTGCTGAGCCCTTCCAATGCGCAGAGTGTCTGCCAATGCCAACACAAAGTGTGAGAGGGACACACGAGTCAGTCCACCAAGCGCCCCAACAACCAGGGGCACAACGCGGACATCATCCACATGCCAGATGCGCCGCAGCTCTTGGCAAAGGGGAGCGTACTTTGCTATTTTTTCGTGGATTTTTGTAGGCACATTCTGGTCCAATGGAACATTGACATCCATCAGCAGCACCTGTGTGCTGGACCGCAACACCAGGTCTGAACGGTTGTGGCGCATTTGCGTATCCGTTGGGATATTGAACTCCCACAGGAGCTTCATGTCAAGATTTTCCGTGACAGGCACAAGATGATGCTTCAGCGGGTTGCTTCCTGGCCGACCCAGACCATGCCGCTTGCATAGTGCCCAATGCACCAACTTGACGAGCATGTCATGCCGTTCGATATACAGTGTTGTGGCTAGGGCTGGGCAACAGGCCACAATGTGATCAACTGTTTCTCCGCGAGCGCCGCAAACTCGACAAATGTCCACAACGTCTCCCCGTCCAATGACCGTGACCTGATAGTGCCTGGTCGCAATGGCCTGATCCTGTACAGCCAACAAGAGTCCCTCTGTCGCAGGCCTGATCGTTGGCGATTTCAGCCAGCGAAAACTCAAGCCCAGGTCCAAGCCAGCATCAGAAGCTCGTCTCCAGAACTGGCCATGGAGAGGCTTACCTTGGATAACGGCCAGGCACCGGAGAGCAACGGCCTTCTTGACAATGACTTTTGTGGCAGTCTCCAAGTCGGGTAGGTCAAGTTCACCCAGAAGTCTGGAGGCTTGACGTGTAACTGATTTTGACGGTGCCACATCATTGTCGTGATGGCGCTTAACAGCAGCCAACAGTGGCACGTTTGGGTGGGCTTGTAGGTACCGCGCCACCCGGACACAGGTTCTATCCAGGAGATCCCGGAATGATAGAATTCCTCCACCACCCATGTCACGAGGCAGGTGGACCCTGGCGGCAGAGTCCTTGGGGTGGCGGGCGTGTTCTTTAAACAGTGCTTGGCGGGTCTGTCGGTCGAGTTCCTCTATCTCTGCCTTTGTCCACTCAACGATGCACAGGGAGTAAAGGATGACTGGAATGGCAAAGGTGTTGATGGCTTTGACCAAGTTCCTGGCGTTCAATTGAGATGAGCATATCAATTGAAGGCGGCGGCCGAACTCAGACTTTGCTGTGGTCTTCAATTCGGTGGCATGAAAATGTGCTGATTCCGGGACACCAAGGTACCTGTAGGACTCCTCCGCCTGCAGCTTAGCAATAGCGTGACCCTGGAGTGTCTGGAGAGCAGACTGCTGATCGCTCTGGGCTCTCCCCCGTTTCGAAGTGAGCCAGCTAGACTTTGACGGGTTGAAATGCATACCAATGCAGTCGCCCATTGACTCCACAACATTGGTTATGGAGAGCAGATTATTGTGGTTTCGGGCGAAGAGCTTCATGTCGTCCATGTACCACAGGTGCGATACAGGGCACACCTGGGCCGGTGGGCCACAGCAAGCCAAGACCCGTCCTGGTCAACTCGCCACTGATCGGATTTAGAGACAGGCAAAATAGCAGTGGAGAAAGGGAATCGCCCTGGAAAATGCCACGGTGGATAGATATTGGGCGACTGAATGCACAGGGTGTTTGACCAGGCAGTACCATTTGCGTTCTCCAATGATCCTTCATGCTTGAGATGCATGAGACCAGATTGTCTGCAAAGCGGTAGATCAACAGGCATCTCCGGATCCACTGGTGAGACAGGCTATCGAAGGCTTTGCGGAAGTCCACCGAGCACGTCGAAAGATTCCGACAACGGGATGCTGCATCCTCTAGAACCATCTTGTCGATCATTAGTTGGTCAAGGCATCCACCACGCCCTGGAGTACAGCCAACTTGCTCATCTGCAAAGATATCCTCTGAAGATAAATGGCGCCACATGGCAGCAGCGAGTAAGGATGTGAATATCTTGCTAATCGTTGGCAGGCATGTTATTGGGCGATAATTCTCGGGCCTAGAAAGGTCTCCTTTCTTAGGCTGTAGAGTGGTGCTACCAAACGAGAACCAGGCCGGCGACTCTGTCTCTGCATCCAGGATTGATTGAAAGGAGACCACAAGCCGCTCGTGGATAGACGAAAACTTCTTCCACCAAAATGCATGGATCTTGTCCCGTCCTGGGGCTTTCCAGTTGTTTGATTTCTTCAAAATGTCCCTGAGGTCCTCCAGTTGAAGAATGAAACGGTCTTGTTGTTGAATCTCCTCACAGTCCCTCTCCAAATTATCAAGCCAAGCACCGTCACGCAGCTCCACGGGTTGTTCCAGTATAGATGACCAGAACTCAGTAACAGCCTCAGCCGATGGATGCGCAGCAGCCTGGTCGACAGGTGGCTGCCCAGGCATTTCCGTAGACTTGGTCATATTGCGGTAGAACTGACGCTCATTCGTGACGAAAACACGATTCTCCGACCTGCGTGTTGCCTCTAGCTTATAGCGCCGGATCCATGCGGCTGTTGCTTCTAGCTGCATTTTCGTATGCTCCAGTAGCTGGCGGGCCTGATCCAAAGTCTGGACTTTATATTGCCGGTGGATCCTGTGCTGCTTGATGTTGGTGTCAGAGAGGGATCCATCATGCAGGAAGCTGGTATTATTATTATTATTATCAACTAAAAAGTTATTTCAAATTAAGATGACATTGTAGTTTCAAAACTCACGATGGAATCAAACTCACGATGGAATCAAACTCATGATGGAAACTACAACCCAATGAGTTGGAAAACCAAACACAGAATTAGATATTGGGAATAGAGTCAGACACAACAACAACCGAAATCAGTACACCAAAAATCTGTCCTACAAAAAACAAAGGAACAAGAAAAAAAAAGACAAAGTACAAAGAATCCCCAAAAAAAGAGGGGAGAACGGGATGAAAGAGGACCGGAGAGCGGCAAACCCCAGGAGGACTTAGCGTCACGTAGTGGCGGGCATGCGGGCCTCCACAGAAACAGCATCCACATCCGCCGCCAGACCAGGTGCACGGAATGCACGGCGACTCCCACGAACCATCAGGACGGAGTCGCGGACAAGGCTGAAAGCCAGGTCCGTTCGCAGCTTTCCCATCACGAGGGGATAAGGCTGCGAGAGCTTGGTGAGGAGCTTCGTTCCGAGCAGCTTCAGGAACTGGGTGGCCTCCTTCGCCAGGGCACCAGCAGAAGACAGGACGATCGGGGTGAACGACGCGTGCTCAACTTCCCGGATCCGGGCACCGTATGCCGACTGCTTCTGACGCTCGTGCCATTGGAACACCTCAGCCAGCGGGCGAGATCGGTACGACTGTGCGTTGGGATAGCACACCCTTACATCAAAAAAATGCATCAGTCTGTACCGACCAAAACCCCCTGGCCTTGATGTCCGGTCTGGCGTCGTCCGCAGTGAGCAGGGCAGGACCATGGTCAAATGTGCGGACCTTCGGTAGAGGTTGCAGCGGTGGCTCCAGCTGCACATCCTCAGACACCTGAGAGAGAAGTTGGCCCAGGTAGTTGCGGACATGGTTGTGCCGGTGGATGGGATAGCCGCCCAACTTGCAGATCATTGCGTGGTCGATGGTGAACGGCCGGCCGCATGGACACTCGGTAGGTGAATCGTGGATGGTGAGGCCATACCGAATGCATAGGGCATCAACGAAGGACCGCCGGTCGAGGGAGTATCCATGCTCGCGAACAGGAAGACAGGTCAGCCATGCACCTGTTCCCTTGGCCTGGAGGTGCTCCAGAAGCATTGGTGGTAGGGCCTCTGGACCAGCTGTCTGCAGGACGGTGTTGGTAGTCACAGACTGGGCTTGCTGGGCAGCAGTCTTGGCGGCGTAAATGGTTGCTGGGTCTACGCTGTAGAGGGAGGACTGGTCCGCGATAAGTTGCTGGAGACTGCTCGTGATGGACAGAGATGCTGTCCGCCGTTGCGGGGCAGCCTCAACTGGATTGAGCACTGTAAGGCCACCATGACGCACAGGCAGAGCAAGGAGGCTGCGTAGAGGGGCAGGGACGACTAGCACACCCAATAGAGCTGGCAACAAGACGGAGCGAAGAGAGGACTCGAGAGGCTCGAAGACGTCTGGTGCACAGCTCGACACGCGCATCAGGAATGTCCAGCGGTGACGGTACCCAAAGACCAGTGCGGCATACACGGCTTGGGGCTCGGCCTTGGCAACGTTCGCCAGCTCACGCATCTCAGATGCCCAAGCCTCCACTCGAGCATTGCAAAATGTTGTCTTGAAGGCTTCCGAGCCCAGAGGAGCACCCAGGTAGGGGCGGCCCTCAGTGGTGATGTGGACATCGGTGTCGGCGAATGCAGCGTTGGCAGCATCGAGATGCTCGGGTTTGACAACCAGCCAAGTCTTGGCAGCGTTTGGATAGTAGCCGAATGCTGGGCCAAGTTGACAGATCTGGTCCCACCAGGTACGAAGGCGCTGCAGCAGGCCAGCGGCTCCCGCGTCGTCGGCATACCATAGCTGGATAGTCGAGGCGTCCGGTCGAGCAGCGGACGCACCGGCGCCGGCTGGTCTCTCAGGTGATTCGCGGTCATGCACCGTGCCAGCTGGAGAGTCGTCCATAAGGGCGGTGGCGAGGGTAGTGACGAGTGGCGTAATGGCAATAGCGTAGAGGGGCATGGCTAGTGGGCAGCCTTGCGCGGTCCCTTCAGCAGACCAGATGACCGTACCGCTGACGTGGAGAGGTACTGTGCTGCGGTAAAAGTTTTTCGAAATTGTTATTGATGGACATAGTAGGTGGATGTTGTGAAGTGCTCCCTCTGTGTTGCTGCTGTCAAAGTGGCGACACAGGGCATGTGCAGCGGCCTCCGCCCCCCCCCCCCCCCACCCTCCTGCCCAGCACAGGTTTGAAGTGCCCCCGCGGCCTCAACAATGTCCTGACGCGTGATGCGGAGGACCACCTTGGCAATGAGGCGACGGAGGGTCTACCCAATGCTGATCGGGCGCACACCAGGATTCTTATCCAGGGGCACAAGCCTTCCAGCCAGCAGCGGCGCCAAAGCACCCGAGTCGACAGGAGAGGTGGCGAGGCGCTTCGTCAGCATGGCTACAGCGTTGCATAGGCCCGTGGAAGATCTTCCAAATGAACAACACATCCTCCGCCAGGCATCTGCATCCAGCCCAGACACCCCTGCCGCACCAGACAGGGAAAGAGAGGTAGCCCGGAGAAATGCAGCATTCACCGGTTCGAACAGCACGGGATGCGTTGGGCAGCACGGACCCTGTAGCAGTACATCGGATGAGGGGCCGTCCAAGTCCGGTGATGGGTGTTTGGCTTTCAGAATATCTATGGTGGACTGGCCACCGCAGTCAGCCTGCAAGGGAAGGACGCCCCCCTTGCCTGAGGTGTGCAGGCAACGAATTGCTGCTTTCACTTTGCCCGCGAGCATGAGACGGGTAAAGCCTTTCACCGCTGCGTCATCAGACCGCTGGAGAGGACCGGATGGTAGGTGGTCTTGGATCTGCTGACCCTCGTGGAGCAGGGAAGTGATATCACCATCTTTCCATAGTTGGAGTCGACGCTGCATGCAGCGGACATGAACAGCAGCCTTTGATGTCCGGAAAGGTTTCTGCAGGAGAAGCGGCGGAAACACCATAGCAGCTTTCAGTGCAATGCGTTCCTGAGGTGTGTCAGGGGACAGGAGTTGCAGGAGACGAGCCTGCTCCTCCACGAACACACAGCCTGCTTTTCCAGATGGTATTGCAAAAATGTTGCGGCGCCAGTTGACGACAACTTCTCTCGTGTGCTCCAGGGCTTGCTCAAACTGCGATGATGGGACGGAAGCCCAGGTGAACGGCTGGCAGTTTAGGGCTGGTGCAGCGTCAGTGAGTCGCTCAGGTGGCTGAGAGGCGTCCAAGTTCGCAAGCAGGTCAATGTCCTGGGATGAAATGGCAGAGTAGCGTACCGGAAGGCGGCTGAGAATTCTCTTGAGAGTTTCGAACCTGGGGAGTTTGAGTGCCTGAGCCAGAAGCCGCAGCGGCGCATGAGGATGAAACAGACGTCTCCGTGGCAGCACCGCTGGGTTGTGAGGACGTGGTAGAAGGGTGTCATTGTGGCAGAAAGAGGAGGCCGATATTTGAGATACTCCTTGAACATTTGAATTTCGAGTTCTTGAATTTCGAGTATTCACGGCGGAGGGTGCTGGGCACGATGAAGAGAAAGCCGGATGAGAGGCGGCAGCAGCGCTGCCGGCCTTCTGTGACGACGTTGAGCGACAGGAGTTACGACACGTTCCATGGCGATTGGCGGAGCAGTTGGTACATTGACGTCCAGCTTTGGCACATTTGCAGCCTGAACCGGTCGAGGCCTTTCCGCACGTGCAGCATGGCGGCATAGCTATAATATTATTATTATCG